ATTATACTAAAAGTTTTGACTTTACAAAATAATAATAACTCTTCCGTAATGTCAAGTGCAGCATTTATAATTCCTTTTCCATACGATTGAGAACTTTATTTAACCTTTGATTAACTGCTCTGTAGCCTGGCCGCTTGGGGTAAAACCATCTTCTAGACTGATCAGTTAACATTTATATGTAATTTGAGCAAAGGGCAACAGAGGAATGTCGGGAGGGACAAAGACCCAAGAGAAGAGGAGTCCTGGCAGGTTTTCCTCAGAAACATCACTCCTTGCCCATTTCTAGAACCATCGGCACACCCCAGTGTGCTTCCTGAGTGACTCATGCCTGAGTTATTAAAATGACCTCCAAATAGTTCTCACGCCTGCCAATTTGTTCTCCTCCACACGTCCCTCAGAGTCAAACTTCCGAAAACATCACTCCCTTCCCATCCTCAGAAGCCTCAGTGAGTCCCAGGACCTAGAGGCCTGTCTCCTTGCATCCCCCTGCCACTGTCCACAAAACTGTCCACGTCTTCTCTTTCCCAGACACATCCTCTCAGCCAGCCCAACTGGCAGCTCTTCTGTCCCAAGAATTTCTTCTCACGTCTATGTTTCCTGCCCTGCCCAGAATCCACGTTTGTCTCCAGGCACCCCACGTCGATCCTTCCATCCCCTTAAATTCAGCTCAGGTTCCCTAACCCTGATGCATACTCGTCTGCTGTCCTCCTAACTTCTGTGGCACCAGAGTTTGACGACCACACAGACCTCCTTTTGATACCCGCTCCACACACATGGGGGTCCCGGACTTGGGCCTCAGACGATGTTGTGTTTCCCCAACACTTACAACACTTACCACGCTGCTGTGTTCCGCGTGTGTTTATTAAGCGCCTACCTCAGCCCAAGTAGATGCTCGATGAGTAACTGAGTGAAAAATACAAGGATGGGAGCAGAGAAGTTAGGAAATGAGAGGGTTTTGTTCCTCGGTCACTGGTGTGGTCAGTGGCTGTTGATGACATAATTGCCACACGCTCACCGCTGAATCTGGTGAGACCTCGGTCGTGAAAGTGTTAATCGAGTGTTCCCTCCATCCCTTCGGGACTTTTCATTTACTGCTGACAGCCAAGAGCGCCATTTAGGAGACACTAGGAACAGAAGCGAAGACAGTGTTTGGAGCACATTAGGAGAGACCCTACGAGAGACAAATTCCAGGCCAAACTCCTCCAAGGTCGTCTCTTGAACTGGACCAGGATATTTGGAATTTTGATTTGGATGTGAAGGCTGGTATGGTACTGAAGACTGGGAGACAAAGAGTTTGAGCCCAGGAGTAAGAACGGGAAGCCAGCTGGAGGCAGAGAGTGGAACGGGATGTGGGCGGAGGGGGGCACTTTATTTTAGGAGGCTGCAATGGAAAAACCTATGTGACGCTCCTAGCAAGGTACCTGACCCAAAGCAGTGATCATAAATCCTAGTTTTTCCCGCCTTCTTCTTACCTAGTGCTTAGGAAGTTAATTATGTGGTCCCTCCAGCCATGAAATGATTCTCACTCATTTTCTCAGATGATTCAGATGATTAATCCAATAATGTTTCTAGGGTTGTCATGCTTATCCCTTGCCCAACTTTATCCTAAATACTACAAATATTCTTAATAGGAGATGAGTAATCTTATCTCAAAACTGTTTCAAGAAATCCAACGGGCTGGTAATTCTATCTGAATATATGCATCTACTGTCTACATCTATATCTGTAACAAATCTGTCCATCGACATACGCATTTTTTCTACATCTTTATTTTATATCTCTCCATATCGGTCTGTGTGTGTATATTTAAATTCACTGCATAGGGATAGTGATGGATGGTGAGAATTCCCGAGTGACTTATCTATACGTGCAACTCTGTATGATGCTCGTAAGTTTCTTTCTTTTCCGTAGCGGTCATGTAGAAACACGCATGTGGCTTCTCCAGTCACTGACACTCTAGCTTCTCGTGGTTGCATGGCGCACCCTGTGTCTAGGAAGGAGCCCTCCTTCGATGGACTTAACATGATCCTCTGTCCTCTCTTCCAGTGCTGAACACATTTTTATCTCTTGGGCCCTGTGCCCTTCATGTCTCGCTATTTGGTAAACCACCGTTCCCTGGTGTTCATTTCAGCTCCTTTTTGTTCCAGGTAAACTTTCCCTAAAGCCCTTTCTGATGCCTCATATTTTTTGTAATAATAAGGGTCATTGATGTTAGCTGCTGTAATGGGTAAATCATAAGGGATCTCAGGTCCTGGTCACCTTGCACTTCTCAGTGCTGCCTTCATCGCTGCCTTGTCCGTTTGCCATTAAAATCCCAGAGGGGGGGAAAAATCCCAGAGGGGAGGGCCACTGTCCCAGTGGACCAGCCAGATACCACGAGATTTCTCCCCTTCCCCTGTGTGCAGCAGCCGCTCTTGCCATCCTGATGATGATAACCAAGTAGTCCTGGCAGCTTGACCAGTTTCCTTCCCACCTAGATCTCAGTTCCAGGAGGTGCAAGTGGACTGGTGAGGCTGCAGTGGAATGTTCAGTACGGTTCCTCCTGAGTCCCCACGAGGATGTGCTCCTCTCTGTGGGAACCAGAGCCTGTGTTTCCACAGGGCCTGTGATCACTTCTATCGGTGGCTGTGTGTGTGTGTGTGTAGTAGAAGGAGGGGCAGATGGACTAATGTGTCCTTTACTTTGTTGAGTGTGTCCCTCCACACCCCATAGATGGGGCCTCTTGGACCTTTCCTAGTGTGGTGGGGCCCCTGGATCCACATAGACTTTCCCTCACACCATGGCCTCTCGTGTAATTACCATTTCTTTGTGATCTGTGCTAAATAGTAGGATGCCATCAGTAGAGTAGAACCATTGATGTTCTGTCAGTCGTCTTCATGGTCTAAGTTTCTTCTGGACCATATTTTAACTGAAGGGCAAAACCATGAATGTGTAGTGTTGTCCATACATGAAAGAGAACTCCCTTCCATTTTTCCTTAAGAGAGATGGGCAAGAACACACTTGCTGGGAGAGTGGCTGCACATTGACGGCGTACCTTCATGTCTCTCTGGGACACCATGGCAGTAGTTCCTGGGCTGACTGCTTTGACTTTATAAGTTTTCTTTTTCTTCCTTCTGCAAGGTAATTGCTAAGCTTTCTTTTTAACCTTGTTGTATTTAGGAACATTTTTATAAATGTTCTAATATTTTCTCCAGTGTTTCCTGGCATTGATAGCAGCTTAGGGATCTCTAAGGGCTTAGTCAACCATGTTGCTGAAAGCAGAATGGGGAGTATTTTTCACAGAACTTAGCTGTGAGGAAGAGGTAGAATGTGGCAGTTCAGTAGGGTCACCCAGAGTGAATAAGGTATGTGGGTCCTTGTGCACATGTGTGCGTATGACTCTCGGTAGAAATGGGACAGTGTTATGTTTTATCGTCTTCAAGCAGGACGTTATTAGAAGGGAAGGGGTTGAAAGTTCAGAACACAGTCAATGTCTAATTGAAAAAGGCTCTGGAAATGGGAATGATGGCCCTGAAAGGACATCAGTGGGTTCAGAGATGAGAAATAGAAGCACATAAAAACATTTATGGATGCTCTAACTCAGCTTAAGTTGACCATTGCCCTGTAGACCCATGCCATTAAAATACCGAGTTAGGTTTTTTTTTCACTTTGTTTTGTATTAGATATTGCTTTGAAATAAGTAGGAAAGCAGAATTTTGAAAACCTTTTAATTGTTAAGAAATTATATTCTAATAGTAATGTTAAATATCAGGTGTTTTTGGGAGGAGGGCTTTTGAAGAGCTCTTCCATGTGTTAAGAATCGTGTATGAAATAAAAAAATATTTTGTATTTTGTTGTCATTATATTGAGAATAGGTTTAATGTGATAAGCTCTAATGATTCTCTTGCTATTAAAATGGCCTTGAGGCTAATGTGGAATTAATATATTCCATTTGTCTCTTTGTTTGGTCATAAAATCATGTGGTCCACTTGCAAGCAAAAATACATGATTATTTGGGGGGATTTTTTCCATACAAAAAGCACTTTAAGGAAATGCAAATTTTTTAGAATTTACATATATCAGTTTGTTAGTAAGCTCCTAACCTTAATTTAATAAATTGGGTATTTGGGTGGAGGAGTGACACAATAGACAAAAATCTTAAAGAAATGAATCTGTGGTAGATAATTTCTTTTTTTTTTTTAATAAAGATTTTTATTTTTTTGACAGACAGAGATCACAAGTAGGCAGAGAGGGAGGCAGAGAGAGAGGAGGAAGCAGGCTCCCCGCTGAGCAGAGAGCCCGATGTGGGGCTCGATCCCAGGACCCTGGGACCATGACCTGAGCCGAAAGCAGAGGCTTTAACCCACTGAGCCACCCAGGCGCCCCGATAATTTCTATTTTGGAATTCTACTTTTCTGCTTGCCAATGAAATATGAGTGACTGTTGAACATACCTATTTTGGTACAACAATAGTTTTTCTTATGGCTTTAGGGAAGTTAATATTTTATATATCATTAAAATTAAATTCAAAGAACATTTATTTAAAACCTTACAATGCCTAGCACTACAAGAATATCAATGTGAAGTAAGCACAGTATCCACTTTCAGCGAGCTCACAGTCCGTAAGAGCAGAAACATCACCAATGCGGTGATGTAATTATGGATTGGTAAAAATACATGCAAATGTCTGGGGTGATTTGTGGGTCAACTGCAAATTCTGAGGCTTCTAGAAGACTTCTGTAAAGAGGTATATCTGAGCTCGGGTTTAAACAGCTAATTGGTAAATATGTTATATTAAAAATTTAAATTTAGGAAAATCACTGTTTTAGATAGTTAATGAAGTACATCCAGTTTTTAAGATGTAGCTTTGATCGATCTGTGCTCAGTGCTGAGCAGTGCAGGTCTTTACACGGAGCAGAGCACGCCGTAAGCCACCCGGCACCATGACAAAGTGCGCTGAACACCTGCTGCCTTTCCACCCTCAGAAATACTAGAGGAAATGTCTGTCTTTTCCTCCGCAGGAGCCCTGTCCTGGTTTTCCAGTGCAACCACCGTCACGTGATTTGCTTAGATTGTTTCTACTTATATTGTGTGACAAGACTGAATGACCGGCAGTTCATCCCTGACCTTCAGCTCGGCTACTCTCTGCCTTGTGTGGGTAAGTCTGGCACTTTTTTTTTTTTCTGCTCCATTTTTAATGCTAATTAAGAATGGGAGAATTGTGGATGCAAAACCACCTCCAATAAATTCAATCCCTGGATGAAGGGTTGAAAAGTCAAATATCTATTTGATCCCGGTTGTGCAAGAAACAACGTTTGGATCACAAAAAGATATAAAACCCTAAGGTAGGAAGGAATTATGTTGGCCTAGAAAATGCATCATCTGCACGGAAGTATGGGAAACAAATTGTAAAATATTATTCAGCCAATGTACACAAAGTATGTCTGTGGATTTACACCGCAAGCTCTAGATTACCCTGGATCTAGAGAAGCACTAGTCACATTTCTAAATTGGTACCCTTATTCGTAAAAATTGTGAGCACATACACAGGTGTATCAAAGAATGTATATTAAAAAATAAAGGAGATGAAAGCTGAAATATTTAATATTTTAAATTGTTTCATCTTTCAACATTGCAGAGCATTCTTTAATTGTATTACACTACTGTTGTTACATGTGTTTTTTTTTTAATTGAGGTGAAATTCACCTAACATACAACTAACCACTTAAAGTATACAATTCAGTGGAATTTCATGCTTTCATGATGTTATGCAATAACGATCACCTCTGTCTAGTTTCAAAACTTTTTCATTACCCCAGAAAAATGTTGTTACCCCACATTCATTAATAATCCCGCCCAATTTCCCCTTGCCCCCATCTCCTGGCAACCACTATGGTCTGCTTCTACAGATTTACCAATTCTAGATACTTCCTATAAGAGAAATCTTACAATATGTTACCTTTTGTGTCCTTGTTTCACCTCAAATAAGTTAATCCAAGTCACGGCATATACCTTTATGCCTTTTTATGACTGAGTAATATTCCCTTATAGAGACATACCATGATCTGCTTCTCCATTTATTCATTGATGGACATTTGTGTTGTTTCCACCTTTTTGCTATTAGGAATAATCTGCTGTAAACATTTGTGTACTTGTTTCGGCGGAGATGTGTTTTCATTTCTCTTAGATGTATACTGAGGAGTGCGATTGCTGGGTCACACAATAATGCCATGTTTAACCTTTTGAGGAACTACCAAACTATTTTCCATAGCTGCTGTACTGTTTTGCATTCCTACCAGTAACTTATAGGGGTTTTTATTTCTTTATATCCTCTCCAACACTTGTTATTTTCCTGTTTTGTTCTGTTTGGTTTTTAATAACCATCCTATAAACTTTGAAGTTGCATGTCATTGTGGTTTTGATCTGCATTTCCCTAATGACCAGTGATGTTGACTGTTAGCTTACATGCTAATTTGCCATTTGTATTACCTGTTTGGAGGACTATCACTTCAGGTCTTTACCTGTTTTTTAATTGGGTTATTTATCTTGTTGTTGAGGTAAAAGAATTCTTTATGTATTCTGGATACTAGACACTTATCAGATACATGATTTGCAAGCACTTTTCCTATTCTGTAGGTTGTCTTTTTACTTTCATGATAATGTCCTTTAATACAGAGAAGTTTTTAATTTTGATGGGGTCCAATTAATCTCTTTTTTGTTGCTTATGCTTTGGTTTCAGAG